TTCCCTTTTGTATTAGTATAAAGTCCGTGAGAATACATATTAACAATTCCTCTGGGACATAATTTACATATTCAAAGTGACTATGAATAGCATGATAATGATCGCCCCATGTAAGGGAATCCGGAATCTAGAATCACCACGAAAGTTTAGGCTTTAGAATCCGGAATCCAGCACTCGTGTCTACACGCTTCAGTGAACCAGCTAAATTTCGCAAGCTAAAAAATATTACAGCAATAGATATCTATTAGTACATGTTGAAAATATACATAAAAATAGCTGGCTGTGTAGCAAGATTTATATATTCCATTTAAAGAACTTTAACAATTTTTATTAGATCGAACTGCGTTCGCTCTTTGAACCGCTCTTTGAATATTATTCTGAACATTTCCCAGTAGACTGTTCCCTTTTTCTAGTGTTTTCCTAGTATTTTAGATTAATGTGTAATAATATTTAGCTTGCGAAATTTAGCTATGCTACATATATATAGAAGATATTACATGAGCGCTTGGAGATACGAAATTTATCTTCGAGTGTTGAAAAGATCTTCAACACGAGAAGATAAATTTCGTATCTCCAAGCGCCCATGTAATATTCTGTGGCTGCTTACCCGAGCACAACATTCCTTTCCTATGAATTAGCCAATCACGGCCTAGTTCTCGAAAACCAGGAACCATTCGCGCCATATGGAAAACAAGATGCGTCGTTAGAGGAAGGCTTCGAGATAGCAGCTAAGAAATTTCGCATCAAACAGTTTAATGATCATCAGAATGACGCTATGCGAAAGATTTTACAAGAAAAAMAAGATTTCTTTGAAAATCTGCCTACTGGATATGGGAAATCGCTTAAAGGAATAAAATATTGGCGCTCTAGAGCACAGCCAGTAATTTCTTTCGAGACAAGCTCGAGGACTCCTGACATTTCATAAAAACTGCTAACGCGACATTCGTGTTCACTTTTCACGACTTTTCTAACAGTGTGAACAAAACAAAACAAAACAACTTTTCTAACAGTATCAAATTGAACTAATCCTTGCAGTATACGCGAAGTAAATACCAGAACTGTGAGCGTTATCCAGAAGTTTACAATGAATACCCGTGGAAGTCAACGGTGCGACAGTGTCACATTTAAAAGTTATCTAGCCTTTTTGCGATTTTCTTTAGCTTTACACTGCATTCGTTGTTTAAAATAGGCGATCTGCGCGGCTCATCTTCTTCCTTTATTAAAAATACTGTCAGACTTTATATCTTGAGTCGTCTCATTTAACTTCCATGAGTCTAGATTACGCTTTTTTAAAAAAATTTCCAGTTTCTTTTTGCTTCTAATATTTTGGTACGAGCTCGATAGCAAATAAAAACTCGAATTCACTATCGGCCGATAAAACAATGTCGATAGCTAAACTTATAAAAATATAAATATTTTCTTTCTTTATGAACAAAGAWAACACTTAGTTCCGTCTCCAATAACTTTTTTTGGGCATTAAACATTTAACAAGAACAAATTCAATTTTAATTTCCCAAAGATTTTCTCCAACTTCCACTCAAATGCGTTTTAGATATATTTCTCTCGCGAACGAATGTTTACAAGTTGTCAAATTTGAAACGTTTTGATTGGTTGTTGAAACACAATGACACTTATCTGATTGGTTGAACACAAACAATAGGAAAGGAATGTTGTGCTCGGGTAAGCAGCCGCTACTCAGGGGAGAAAGCTTTGCGTGACGACACTGAAAGCGCCCATGTAATATTCTGTTTCGAGTGGTCGAAATATTACTTTAACAAATTATTTTTGAGATCACACAAGAAGTTGCCTGTTTTCTATTTTACTTATATTTTCACATTTTCTATCAAGAGAGCATATTAATATCCTTCTAGTGAAAGCCTTGGTCGTTGGCCATGGTCTACAATTCATATATTCAAGTTATATGAATATACGCCTAATTGCAGGAACGTCATATAAATATAAAAATTAGCAAAATAGCAAAAAGGGATTTATTATTTTTTAAGCAAAACAGGAGTGATTATTTCACTGCTTTGAAGGTATACACTGACAATTTTGATATTATCTTGTTGCCACATACTAAAACAGTTATTCTCATCAATCTTGGATTTAGAATCAAAATATTAAAATTCATTACTAAATATTTCTTATTTGTTATTACCTATATTTATATTATGTATATTTATACATAAAAATCAAATATGCACAAAAATCTTGCTATTTTGAGTCAATTAGTCGAAGTGTCGCTATGTACATCTTGTGTGACGACTTGGTTTGTTTGCCCCCTGGCAATCCATAGATGCATTGCGCGGAACGCAGGATCCAATTACTGGAAACTCATCCATTAGATACTTAGGACATTAAATATGAAATTGCCTTGAGGAAAAATGAGAACTTCTATTAATCTAAGGACTTTTAAGGTCATGCGATTGGGCGTTTCTGCACAGGGAGCCCAATTTAGATTAAAGTGAATGGTGAAAATAAAATCGGAAAAATTAAATAATTAATTATTTTTTAAATTCGAGATCAAGATAATGTCCTCCGTAATGCGAAAGAGCAAAACAAATCAATGAAAAATGCACTAGAACATTTTTTTTCGCGCGCGCCTTTGTTTTCCTATATAATTTCCCTATGGTATCTGATGTTGATCTTATGTATATATACTCTGACAAGGAAGGAAATTTCAGTCGCCATATTTGAAAAACAACTCACTTTAAACCACGATTTCATCGTCTTTTAAACATCGAACTCCACAAAAAACGTGATGAAAATGATCCCTGCGATGGGGAATTCATTTATTTAAAACTCTTTTGGCTCTTCCTACAAGATTTCTATGAGTGAAATTTTCGTGCTGAAAATGTTTAACATGCAGAAAATTTTCTGCCATGTTATGTCAAAGTTACTGCGTAGGACCTGGACGAGAACGAATTTCGACCTTACTATCTCCCGCACAGGATTTTTGTAACGTGTACACGACCCACCACCAGCCACCCCACAGGGCTAGTTTTGTTCTTGAAAAATCCTTCCACAAAGTTCTCTATGGTCGACATTTTTTCGCTTTTTTTGGTTGGTTTTACTTGTCAAATGAAAGATAAGTACAGATAACTCAACATCTGAATTTTAATGTTTATTACTTTGATAATTACGAATAGATAAATAGTTATGAACGGATAGAGCTTATATTATATCCAGGGTAGGGCAGCATGGGCGAGTGGTCATCGTCCGGAGCTGTATTTTTCCTGATTTCTTATTAGTTCACATTCAGTTTTTCGACCATGCTCGTAAATAGCCATCTGGTTTGCCTCCTTGCCAGTTGGTTTTGTAAAAAATACTTTATGTTTCTATTTCTTCATTTCAGCTTATTCATTTTTGTAAGAGCATTGAGACTTTTTTAGAATGTTCCTATTAAAAACCGGTTCCAAAGTATTTTGGGATTTTCCATTTTAGAAAATTAGCAGCGATTTGTTATCATTATCGCAGGTTTATGTTAACCATGGCAATCGAATTGATTTTTTTGGTTGATTTTTCAGTACAAATSTTTTTGCACTTCATTTTGAAACAAAAACTTTAGGTATTATCTCCATCGTGTCATTTGAAATTTAATTTGAGTAGTTTTTATTGAAAAAAATGGAGATTCTGGTGGAAGGTATGCTTCTTGTCATCCGTTTGTCCACGGCAATGCTCAAACATTTTCAGCACTCTGATAAAAGGTCATGCTTCTTTTCATTCTGTCCACGGCAATGCTCAAAAATGTTTGAGCACTCTGGTGGAAGGTCATGCTTCTTGTCATTCTGTCCACGGCAATGCTCAAACATTTTGAGCACTCTGGTGGAAGGTCATGCCTCTTGTCATTCTGTCCACGGCAATGCTCAAAAATTTTGAGCACTCTGGTGGAAAAGAATGACCAAGCATTTTAACATAAAAGGTTTAGAAAGTAAACTTTTATATGGATAAACTATTATTGATGTGACAAATAGACCCTTCCACGACTTTTTCAACTTTTACATGGACTGGTTAAGATTCCACCG